ATATCTTGCATTTTTTTCCTTTTGTAGATATTACGAACTTTTTTTTTACAGACTAGTGTTTGTTTTATAACTGCCACAAAACAAGACACAAAATTGGGTATGGGCATGTTGTGACCTGCTTTATGACCATCACAACTTCCATCCAAAATTGTGGGCTCAATTGCATGTCAAACATTACCTGTGCGCTGATTATACCCAATCATACCTCTCTACCCATGCTAGGTAGGTTATACTGTTCAGGAGTTGGGTCAGCCTTGGGATGCTCTATGGACATGTTTGGGAAAAAATTGGCTGTGAGTTAACTCTACCAAGCCATAATGTTTGTGGCTGTTGTTTGGACAAGGTAACTCCCCCTTCCAGACAGAACTGTTGTGCAATTTGGAGATCATTCACTGCAACTGGTCAAGAATGGGTGCCCTGTGCCCCCCCCTTTATAGTGTGACTGTTGCAGTGTGAACTGGACTGGCTTCCAGTTGCTTTATAGGTGCTGCTTATCATCTTTAAAGAAATACATGGCACAGGATGAGGTTACTTATGGGACTGCCTCTCTTTGAGGGTATCTACCATCCCATTACCTGACCTGGGTGAGTTCCTGTTCCCTTCCTTTAAAGGCTGTCATCTGTTGGGGCTTTGGAGACACACCTTCTCTACAGCTGGTCCTGATCATTGGAAGGGTTTTAGCCTCCCAGAAGACCCCCTGGCTCTTACCCCAAATACTGGGCTTGGATGGGGGTTGAGTCAGAAAACTAATGGTGCGGTTGGTCTGGCATCTGATGGGAAGGATAGTTCTGTTTCTACTCTGTTTTTTGTTGGTTGTTGTGAATAGTCTAGAATCAGTATGCTAGACAGATAGCCATATGAATTCTAAAATACATTCGCACATAAAGTATCATCGAAAGCATTCCCAGCCACCTTCCTTTCCCGAAAGTCCAATTAGTTAATATGCTGCTTTTCTAAATTGGGACAGACGCGCCCTAGTCGGCTCGAAGTGTTTAGGGCTCTAACTTCCATCAGCCCCAGTCGACCTAACACCAGGACTATGAAACCTATAATCCGAACTCCCGGCCAGCTTTAGTTGCCTTGACATTATATAGCAGCGGCAGAAGAGGCGTAACTGGAATTCGTTCCCGTTTTATGAAACTTAAAAAGGAGAGTTCTGAACTTCCCGTGTCCCATTAACCAAGAGACCCGGAATTTAACTACCTACGAAGCAACTTAAACCGGATTAAGTTCCAGACACCGGTTGCAGGTTTCACCCGGGAAAAAGCCAATCAGTCCCAATAAGTGTCATCGACCCAAAGGAGAACACTCGCCACTCACCCCCAAGTCGCAGATCAACCTTCCTGCGTCACAGGGCCTATGACGCTCATTAATCCTCTCACTTCCGGTGTCTTTCCGCTTCCCACAATTCAGCGCGGTCACCTTCTCGCTGCTCCTTAAAGGGGCCGCACTCTTATTTTATTATAAAAATGCTCGGCTTTCTCCCAACGACGTTCCATTCCCTGGTTTTGGCTTTCAGTACCTCTTTGGAGGACATAAGCTTAAAGCTCTTCAGAGTCGGTACTTCAAATGTCGGCGGAGTTTATTCCTAAACACATTTGTTACATTTATAAAGCCCCGAGGATCTGAAAGTCAAGACTTGGTGGAAATGCATACGAGCCGCTACTAGAATCTTAACGTTGCTGCGATAGGATCTATTATTTATTATGGTATAAGTTTCTGTGGATCTTTGCCTTGCTTAAAAAAACGAAAAATCTGACAAGGTGAAAAGTGTGAGTTACAAAGGTTTTTATGTCTTCATGGAGAAACTACTCTAGACAAGATGACTTGATGGCACACAATCATAACATAGGACTAATGCAACCAATCATTAATATGCGACTATAGGGGAAGCATATCGTTATCTTGGCAACGATTTAGGAGTGAGTTGTATTGCCTTCTTCCGGGACTTTCTCGACCAGTGTAGCCGACGGTCGTGATGTCCCCGGGGTGGTAGTCTCCCATCTTAAGTCTTAGCCACGGCCAACTCTTCTTGCTTTCCCAACCCAAATAAAGTTAATCAGACACTTACTAGCTAAACTTACTTAGTTGTAATTCCCAGTGAGTTTCATGGGACTTTGGTCTGATTTAGATGTTCATAGCTTCACAGTAAAATGCCGTAAAATACCTCGATCCCATGCTGATTGTGTTACTATAGATTAACACAGCCCTCCCTCTGATGTATTTTTAAAAATTAAATTATTCTGAAGCTTGAAGTTCCCTTCCCCCACCCGAAAGTGAAGATTATGGGATCAAGTCAGTATCGCTTTCGTACTTCACAAATCGACATCACGATCCTCGGCTCTTAAATATCCCGCGTTGCCTGCAAATGAGATTCAAGGCAAAGCAGTGCAGCCTCCACTCCTGCCCCCAAGCCGACATTGGTTTAGAACACGAGGCGCAACAGCCAATCAGGAACCAAGTTAATGATTTAAAAGAATCCGGTAGAGAAAGCCGTGCTGTAGGTTATACGCAAAGTGCTTGTCGAGGTAATGAATCGATAAGGGGATCCTGGATGTAGAACTTTTTCCCCCATGACAGTTAGTTTAATTTTAGTTTCTGTTTGTTCTTACGTATTAGGTTTTAAAAGCTACCTCTGTTGCAATATTAAAACTGCAAACCGTAGTTTAGGGAGAAGCGGGATGATCTACCTTTTGTCATAATTGCTAAAACTTGTTTTTGTTTTAAAGTCTCGTATACTTTCTACGGACTTGTTCCGCAATGCTATTTTTCTGTTTGATAACCTTCTAAAACTAATTCTGAAGAAGCTCTATTGATAAACATAGAAATGCCGGCTCTATGAGTATTAAATTGAAATAATTGAAAAATAAAGTTCTGTTTACAGGTAGCAGCAGAGCAAGATATGCTGACTTCTATAGTGCATGCACATCACAAATTCATATGGAATAATATTTTTGTTGTAGAACTAACAAAAATGTCGGTTTAAAACTTCATGAGATATGATATTCTAAGCTAGGGGGTGAGGGAGAACTATTTTTTATTAAAAGCCTAGTTGTTTAAACTACAAAGTGTTTAATTCAAAGTAAGGTAAGACTTTATATCCTTGAATACTAGATGCTGGGAAGACTAAGTAGCATTTAGTTATCAAATTAAT